ATAGCTGCATATGGAATAGCTAAGCACTCTATATCATTGTGTATCCCGTTAAATGCATATTCACATTGCACTTTGTTTTTCTGTTCATATTGGGAACATAGTGACTGTTAACTTATTTTACTCACCCCACTAATTTATATATTAATAGGTCATACCGACGTTCCTGAGTTGGCTTCCCACTTGGGATGATCCAGACGAAGCACCACATGTTTACGGGTATTTTGCTGATCTTATTGAAAGGTACCTTTCTGTTTCATTTGGTTTCAAATTTTAATATGGTTTTGAAGATATGTAGAACTAAATTTCCGAAAACTTTATTCTGGATGTCTACCATATGGTATTTCATTATATTGGTTTATTATGTAATACATTTTTAGAAATAGAAGCGTTAAAATTAATGTGAAAACCTATAATTATCCAAGCTTATGATTTTTCAGTAACAATCCCTTGGTTTTGGGCGAAAATAATTCCAATCTCCCTCGCATATTAACTGTTATTGTGCAAGCCTTTGAAAAAGGAGCATTTGATGACACTACCGACAAAGATAATGTCAAACATCGCTTGATCAACATATTGAAGTTCATGCAGGTACTATTATCGAATTTACTTTATTAATGTTTTCAAAATTCTGATTTCTTTTAGACACCCATGTCTTTTTTCACAAAAATCTTAAAGAATAGACTATGTGAGACTCTGTACTAGTTATCAGATTGTCTTTATTCTCACCTATTGACTTTTATGTTCTGAATACCTTCCCGATAGCCAGGCTTGTAACGGGTAACAGCGACGAGCATCTCGAGAATCGAGACACTCAACTACTGGCAATTACATTAGTTTTTATATTACTGAATTGACCGAAGTTGAACTGTGGGGAGGAAGACGGAAGTGTAAACCTAAGATTCGCTCCTTTTGCAGGCGGATAAAAATCTTTTTGAAGCGGTGGTTGGTGGCGCAAACTTGACCGAATCTCAAATAACGACACTACACCGGTTGCTAGCTTGAAGTTTCCTGGGACGAGCAGCTGTTGTTGTTCCTCTTAACTCTGCAAATTTCTTATCTGTCACCCTTTTCCGCTTGCACGTGATAATTTTGAAAGATCGATTCCTCAAGTTGTTCTGCGCCTATTCATCACAAGTCGGTTATTTTCTCTTAATTGTACATGTCTTAGAGTAAAACCGTTGTTACAGTTTGCTCAATGTTTGTTGAATGTCAGTTACTTTGCTTATAATCCTCACTTACTTCGGCTACGTAAAGATTTTGAGTGATACTCAAAACTTTTTGACTTTTGACTGTCAACCATTATTTTTTCACGGAGAGGACCATGAAGTAAAGAAGTGAGGGCGACGTAGGTAGAACATTTACCTACGCTAGCTACTCAATCCCCAAGAAATTGACGAGCGGTTATTGTTAGAGATAGCCCAGTCGTAAGGAATTGAAATATTCCTGTATTATCTCCTGCTTGGCAAGAGGTGGTAGCTTTATGATACTGCATTCGTCGATTTTGGTGGAATCTGAAGACAATGGAAACCTTGAAATTCCTTTATTGGGTTATGCCTTTCATTATTTACTTTGTATTGCGAAGTAAAATTCAACTTTATAATTAGAATTTCCTAGAACTTCCTGCGTGTTGAAGCTTTTCATATGTAACAAATCCATCTTATGTACCAAATGTTTTGATGTGCACAATCCAAAATGCATAACTTTCTAGGTACCTTCAAAATTTTAGATCATTCAATGTAACAAGAAAACGAATATTTAAATCTAAATGTTTTTAATCGTTGGCTTTTATTTTTGAATTTTTGAATAGCAAAAAACATCAGATTTGGAGGAAAAACAATCGTTGCACCGATTGTTGGTCCGAACACAAAACTCATCCATCTCATATTGATTAATTCGCATCCCTCACAGATTTTGTGTTAACGAACATCAGTGATATGTATTAATGAGTCTTGTCTAATCAACGAATGAAACTGCATAATCGTTATTTCCAAAATAAAAGCTCTCCAATCCTTACAGTGACTAATTTTCATCACTGTTACCTCAATTTTTTCGCGCGTTGTCTTGAAACAAATATCTCTCACTTGTTTCTGAACAGCATTAACATTTTCAAATTATGTTCTGCAAAGCAGCTCTATTTCTTCAATCCATTTACACGCATTGTGGCTTAATCCTTTACACTCTTAATATTTGGGACATTGTAAGGTTTTCATTACTAAAATCTCCATACAGTCAACATTACTTTTATAATGACTATCTTCAGTAAGTAGTAAAGTGTGAAAGTCTAAATAGAGACAGGAAACCCCGATCATCACCAACAGCCATATAAGCGCTTTTTGGTGAGAAATCAGTCACTGTTACTTTTCCAAGACTTATATCTCTTGGCGGGAAATTCGTGTAAGCGGTTTGGCTGGCGACATGCATCAGCCGGATCGAATTGGTCTGAAATTTTCGATTAAAGTTCATGCACTTATTGAACATCATGAGTTATAAAAGTGAGAAACAAGAATTTTCTTCCAATGCTCAGAGATGCTGCTAAATAAAACACTTACTTTTACACTTGAAGATACGGAAAGAATCTGCGAATCAGTATTAAATGCCATATAATCAATAGTTGTTGTAAGATTATCGAACACTTTTATGGGTTTGGGGAACGAATTTCTCAGGGCATCTGCAGAGTCGTATAGATTTACAATCCCTGTATTAGATCTAAAATGTGTTTTTTAAATTCCTAGAAACAATTTAATTGCTCTTTAGGCGGTGGAAATGGTCCAATAATTGAAAGTTGATATCTGATAACAAAGCTTTATGTGAAAAACAGCAGTTAATTCATTAATTTTTATCAGCGCCATGAATCAAATCTAGTTTCTGCCAAAGACTAAACACTTGGTTATCTTTAATTCTAAACTTTGCAAAGATATATCCCAATCTCAGGCCATTAATCCGAGCTTCTCATGCGACCTTCCCAGTTAGTTCTTCAAAACAAAATATTCTTATCCTCACTATCTTGACAGGACCTACCCACATGCGATGTATTGACCATTTTCACTTATTCGCATTATCGTTCCTCTAACTGAACCTTCATCGTAAAATGTTTGTTGTTCTTTTGATTTCCTGATGTTCCATATGAATACTTGTCCATTTTCTGAATACCATTCTTTTGAGCAATACTCAATAAAGAGTTCACATCTTTTTAGTGGAGTTTGTGTATGAATCAATCATGAAATCATGAAAAATAGAAGATAACCCCCAAGTGCAAAAACTGTTGATGAATCACTCGGAGAAAACTGTACGGAAGCAATTTTTGTTGAAGCCGTTAGGACCCCAATATATTCCGATGACTGAAATTTAACCTTAATTCAAAAAATGCTTGTTAATGGGATAGAATACAAAACAGTACATTTCAGATCAGAAAAAGAAAGACATGAGACAAAAAAGTAAAAAATAAGCAGTAAGGACAAATGAATAACGAAAAAAAATTTACCGCCCTCTGCAAAAGGTTCTTTTTACTTTGACTATTTTTTTCATTTGAATTATAGTGAGTCGGTTGTTTCTTGAGGGTTAGGGTCAATCTACCTGACTTCAACTCTCAGTTCAATTCTTACTGCTATGGCGAAAAAATCTTTGCTTGTCATGTGACTTACGCCATATTGCGTGCTCGGCATAACAAACTCGATCAGCTTTCACTGAACAATGATTATGGGAAAGACCAAATTAGTTATCTATAATTGACATCCCAGGTTACCCAGAATTATAGCGCAGAGAGTTAAAAACGTACCGTTGAAGTTAAAATATGTACTTCATTATGCGCCAATACAGCTACGTATTTGCCATCAGACGAAAGCGAGAAATACCCCATGTGCACTTTTGTCATTTCTGTAAAACTTTTTGCACATAGAATTTAGCTTTTTTTTTCAGTTTTATGACGAAGCAGAAAATAAAATCGGTACCGTATGGAGTCCTCATTTGCATCACTTTATCATCCAGAAGATCGTAGCAATAGAGATATTCCTGTAAAATATATTGATAATTGTCACAAGTTACATCACTTGTACCTTTTCTAGAAACATTATTTCTTAACAAAGAACAGTAATATAATAATAATGAATTTAATATAATTACATTATAATCTAAATTCATGTTTATTATATAAAATCTATATTTGAAGGATCAATTATAGATCATACCAACAAGTAGAATGTCAAAATGGCAAAGAGAGATATTTTAATTTTTGAACCTTCTTTTTCGAGCCAACGATTATTTTCGAACCGTCTGCAGTAAAGGAAGCACTGGTAATTGGGAATGCTTTGAAACGAACGTTTTGCAGAAAAGCTTCTTCTGTTTCTGGTAAGCCCACCTATATTAAATGGATTTAAACTCATTTATAGGTAAGTTTCGCTAAAACTCAGCAGCATAATAAAAAATCAAACCAAAGAAATGCAGATAATACCTCGAAAAGACTGAGAAGGCCATTTTCACCGGCACACATCAGCGCCTTACGAGTGGGATGAAATTGTAATACTCTCATCGGTTTCTGAGAAATCATATTTTACTATCAGAATAAAATAACTGGGTTGTAAAAACTTCAATTTTTTTTTCGTTAATTTTTATAAATCTCAAAAAAAAACTATTAAATGCATGAAAACCTTTCCGAGTCGATGCCCACATGAAATGTTATTCAGTCGTTTCGCGCTAATTACTCCTTTTGGTAATGACTTGCTATTGGTAACACATTTTCCTGCAAATGCAGTTAGTTCGCGTAATGCATCCTCCAGATCGTCATCATCTGATTCAACATGTCGCGAATTTTTGTTTTCATAGACTGCAATACTTTCTAGATCAAAAAATAATGGATGGTGTAACAAAATTAAAAATGAGATATCACAGAAAAACTACGAACGTACAAGACTGAGACCAGGCTGGAACAGCACCAGAACTCTGACAAAACAATTGTCGTAATCGTCCCTCGTATTCCTGAAAAAATCGTATTTTCATTTTCCTTGAAGAAATAAATCACTGTTTAGAAGTTGGTCAAATGATGTAGATCTTCATTCTTCACTCTAATCAGGAATATTGATCTTCCTGACTGCCGAATGTTTAAGAATGATAAAAATTCCTCCTCAAATACGGTAATTTCTAATATCAGGATATCACTATTCCACTATGAGTAAAATAAGTTGAATACGACTGGATTTTATTCCTAGAAAAATGAGTGTTTGCAAAAAAACCATTTCTGAATTTTTATAGTAATCATGAAGAAACAAGAACCATCTATGCAACCGTTCTGGCAGTAATGACTGCCTTGTCTACATTTCCCATAAATAGGTACCAATTAAGGCAACAAGAAAAAGACCTTTGGCGTTATTTTCTGATTCATAGCATCGGTTGCTTTTCTCATGTGGATTTTTCTACGATGCAATGGCACATCCACAATTGCCTCTTCAACTTCATCATCTTCATCCTGCCAAACGGGTTTCTTACTAATTTTTTCCTGAAATGAATTTTCACATATCCTCCGATTATCATAATTTATATACTTTAATGATCGTCAAACGAATCTGATCGAGCCTCGATGATAAATGAAGGAACTCTAAAAGTATATTACTATTAATTCTTGTAAGAAAATGAACTTACAAATCATTGGTAGGTTTTTGAAATAAATTTTAAGCTAGATATCTTTTAAAATTCATTGTCTCTAGAAAGAGTGTGAATGTGAGGTGGCTGGTTTAAATTTACCGCCCACATTTCATTCTAGATCATGTTCTCCAATAAACAAGTACATGAACTACCTCAGTTTGAAATGTTTCCTCCATCCCACTATCGTCATTATCGCTATCCTCAAAGCCGTCCGGAAAGCCAGCACTGCTACCAAATAATTTTTTTGCTAACCGATCTTCTTCCTCTCGATCTTTAGTTTTCCGCTTATGCCGAACCATTCTTTTAACCGATTTCTGCATAAATTAGAACCAATGATTAATTTACTTTAATTCTTTACATCAACAGATGATGAATATAAAAACCGGCACATTGATTTCTTATATAAAATCAGCTAAAAATCCGTAATGTTTTCACTTTCAAATGCATACTGACAGGTTCCAATGGATACACCTGCAATTCTAGCAAATCAATATCATTCCTACGGTCTAGATATAGATTTTCGGTTCAAGCTCGGAAATGCACACTTCTCAACCCTTCAAGTTTACGAAGAATGCATGAAATGAAACGAACTGAAAGTCATCGCTCTTCCATCCTCTTCCTGGAAACCTCAGAAATTACGACTAACTCCTAAACGTAAGAAAAATCAAACAGCGCGCACAACTATCAAACCGAACTCATTGTATTGTCGCGTTGGACGACAATGACTAGAGTCAAATGCGTCAACCTCCCTCTGCGCAATTCAAAGTTCCCGATATACGTTGCAGAGCGAGGGTAGCGGTGCAGTATTGAAAGAAGGGAAGTAATCTTTTAAAGCGTTAGGGACCGGCGGAAGTGACTGATCCAACGGTCTTCAACACTACATGCATATTGTGAAAAGGGAGCCAAAAGACGGATGTACGAGATTGTCAAGAACCACCTTGGTAGGATATATCACGCAAAAGATGCAAAAGATACTGGAAAAGCCAGTAGAACGGCAGACAAGAACAATTAAGGAAAATGATTCCAACGTATCAGGGATTCAATCCAGTCCGTCACTTCAAACTTGTTTCCTAAGTACAATTGGATTAGTCCAAATAGATAATTTTGAGATTGCTTAATAGGCCTGACTTCACGTACCTAGATACTGAAGAAACCCCTTGGATAGAAGATTCACTTGTTTACTTCTTTAACATTCACTTCAAAGCTCCGATAACATGTTCCTCGGTTACATTTCCTTCGCAAAACTTTTCTAGCAGCTTTTAATTATCGAGCTTGAAGATAACTGTTCATCGTATAAAAATGAAAATAATTGTTTGTGATAATCAAAAAATAACATCTAACCTAGCATGAAAGTTCTCTCTCTTCTCAGTCACTTTGTTTTTATATTTTTTTGCGAAAAATAAACAATTTGTTTCAGGCTATAGAGAAAATATCATAAATTCAAGCTAAATTTTAGCAGCAATATCATTTTACGAATATAAACTTTCGAGAAATACTGCCAAAAATTACAGATATGCACATATATAAAATACATAAATCTTGATCCAACGAGAACAGAGTGGGAATTTGGTACAGTAATATAACATAAATGATGAATGTGGGAATGTTAGTTTTGAAGGGATTCATGGAATTCGATACCAGCCATTTCAAGACAAGCTTTATGAAAATTATAGAAGCTGATTTATAAGTGTAATATGTATAGTAAAGCCACGGTCTGATACAAGCAAATTATTTACAACCAGGAGACTGCTAGCCTATATTTTTATTGCAACAAATCATTTTTCGCGTTGTGAAAGTTGCAAAAATGCTTCTTCTAGTGTTGTCTGTGTCAGTGAATAATCAATAATCCATGGAAACTGTGCAGCAAGTTGATATAATTTCATATACATTTCCGACCATCTAAACTGCGATAATTATGAAGGCTGTTGAGTAAATTTTTCATTTCATTGTAATGGAGTAAAACTTGCAAGACTTTTAAAATTTCCACTCACTAGTAGTTTGCCCCTCTTGAACAAATTTGCAGGTTATTACTTCTGAAGATGTAAATCCAATGTATTTTACATTACCCGATTTCCCACTCTGATAGCAAAATGAAATCTCTGAGAAATGTGAATAACCAAATACAGTAAGATTGCTCACCTGTCATTTTCTCTCTTCGTAATATCCCATAATAAGCATATGCCATGAGCATCTTTCTCGATGGAACCAGGGAAAATTTCTTTAACCGAGCAAATTAAATCTTCCCGTCTGCACTGATCAGCAGCAGTAATAATCAACGTGTATTTTTCACCAAATCTGAGTAAACGAAAAAAAAAAATTCCTCTTCTTTGTTACCATGCAAACAATGAAAGAGAATAAAGTTCCACTAATACTCCTGCTTGCAAAATTCTGCAACTGATATCATTTCTCATCTTTTCTTCGTATTACTATTCAATATGAACCTTGTCTTGATATGTTGTGATGTTCCAATAGCAATCAGAGAGCCCTGATCCATGATGCCAATGCGATTACAGAGTGCTTCGCACTCGTTCATACTATGTGAGGTGAGAAGCATTGCTCGTTGTTTTTCACGTACTGCATTGAGTAAACACCAAATTTGGCGCCTTGCTTTCGGATCAACTCCAGTAGTCGGTTCGTCCAGCAGTATTAAATCAGTTTGCGAAATTAACGCTACTGCTAAACTCAAACGCCGCCGCTGCCCACCGCTGAAGAAAAAAAGCATTGAAACTTATCAAAATTAAAAAAATAAAATAGCGGACATTATTTTACACAGTTACAGTTTTTGTCAGCATTAACTGAAAATGTTCCTTAGCTAATCCTAACAAATAATGCGACCAGTAATCAACTCCAGGCGATTTGTATAAGGCAACAGAAAAAAAGAAACAATTTCGTAGGGTAAAAAATGCTTTCACGAAATAGTTTCGATATTTTCTAACCATTAGCATTTGCTGATGGTTAGAAAATATCGAAATGTACGTTAATGTACGTATATATTTACGTACATTAACGCTAGCTGATAATTAAAAATTTTATCAAAAGCGAATCATGAACCATTGTATAGGGGATAGCATTCTTCGGAAGGAGCTTCATCAATAATCAAACTATAAATTTTAACTGTTTCGCCAATAAAGTTGAGATTGAGAGAAACCAATGTTCCAAATGCATTAAATAAACGACAAAAATAATATGAGCAATTACAGTTTTTCATGTAATCTAATAAAACCTAAATCAAATCCCGAAAATGCAAAAACATTCTTTAGATGAATGTTAACTATGACCTAAGAAACTCGACGCAAGTATCAGCTTGCGCTGTTAAGGATACTGCTTCAAGAAGAGTTTTCACGCGTTTTACAGGATCAACAAAGCCATAAAGCGAGGCCAAGAGCTGTAGAGTTTGTCTAGCTGTAAGCTGAGGATGAAGTGCATCAAATTGCGGACAGAACCCAATTGTCTGAAAAAAATCATTTTTCACAAGATGATAAGACCATGAAAAAGAAACATTAAGATCTACTTCAAAACTGCGACAGACGTGATGAATATCATCCACGGTGGTAAGACTGCTATACAACAGCAGTGAAATTTGAAAGTAACGTTTTAATTTAATAGAATTTCAAAGTTAAACCTGCTTCTTTAAAATAGAACGGCCATTGATGAAAGCTTCGCCTCTATCCGGTATCGATACACCAGTTAGCATATCAAATGTTGATGTTTTACCAGCACCATTTACTCCTAGAATTTTGTAAAATTAATTTTAAATCATTCCAAGAATTAAACTTTAAGTTAATTCATATATCTGGGACTTGAAAATTATAGTAACTATAAGTGCAAACATAAAAGATGCTCTCATCTATTTTTCATTACTATTTTTACTTGGCAAAAAAATAATGGTCAATAGGCACAACATATCATAATTAATAGGTTTCTGAAAAAAAAGAAAAAAGTCGTTGCTAATTAGCTCGCTAATCTAAGAATAGTGCTTTATCTGGTCATCAGTGAACTTTTCAATTGCTTTCAATATGCCTCATAACTAAGAAAATAGCAAATTTTAATGAAACAGACCTAACAGACCAAAGCATTCACCACGTTCAACGCCGAATGTAAGATTACGAACAGCATGCATATTCCCGTAATACTTATTTAAATCACGGACGGCGAGACACAAGTCGAGATTTCTTTTGTGCGATATGCACTCTCGTTCTTTCTTTACATCAATATCTTCCAAACTGTTTTCGTACTAAAATACTTGAAGAAATAAAATATAAGCGTTTTTATTGAAATATTATATTCATCCTCGTCCCTTCGATTAAAGATAACAAATGGAACTCTTTCTCAAAATTCTATATTGCATTATCTTCAGAGAATAATCTCTCTTCCTACTACAATTTTTATTTCTTGGAACTCCTTCAAAGTTTACTGTTTTTATAATTTGAAAATCTAAAAAAGCGATTTGGAGTTTTACTTGATTGTACCAAACCATTCGTTTATTTTTCCATTTATTCTTATAGTTTTATAAAATTTTCCTATATTTGATCATGTAACAGGAAATTACTACAGTACTTTCAATAAGGATAACATATCAGTTTGATATATCAGTTTGGTAGAATCCCCTAGGTTTCGATGTTATCAAGCTACTACGCCTCTACATTGTAATATAGTGTCCACAAGTGTATGAAAAAAAACATGACTTTTCTATTTTTGACGTTTAATTTCTAACATGACGTTTGATTTTCATTTTTGAATATAACAAAGATAGAACTTCAAGGAGCAAAATGCGCTCAAGTTTCTAATAAATAAAAGATTCAAACCAATAATAAACTTGATGGTGTCCTTCGTATTCTCGACAACAAATCATGTATGTACACTGCCAGAGGTTTGAAATTCATCATCATTAAAATAATCCAAAATAAAAATCCCGCGCAAGCCATTACGACATAAACACGTCCAAGTTTCTAAAAATGAAAGTTAATATCCCATCTGCTCAATTTTATATATGAATCAAGATTTAAGTTAATTTCACTGAAAGCATAATCCAGCCGAATAATATTAATAACTCTCTCATTCTGAAAGAAATCATTATGAAATTTAAAAGATAGAAATATTTCATTACACAGCGTAGGCATTATGAGAAATACAAACAATGTCTGCTTGAGAAATCTGACTCTCAGCATTTACGAATTCTATAATAACGAAGGTATGGGTCTGTCTGATGAATATTCCACTAAAATAAGTAAGATTTTGCAGACCATCCTATCATTTCGATCAAAACAATAATTCATATATGTCTAACATATTACAGGGATATAAGTTGACACATATCGAGATTCACAGAATCTGTAAAACTCATAAAAAACCTTTACCAAAACTTTGAAAAAATTTAGCAAACTCTTTGAATGCAAGTACTATTCACGTCTGCTTGTAATGATTTAGTGCATTACAAATCAAGATTTCTTTTAGAGCACATCCGGAAACATGTTCAACTACTGAACAGTGTCCTCAAATTATTTAAAGGTCAATTTTTGACAGCAATTTTTAGCAACAGATAACACTGTTCCAACAGATAACACCCAAAAAGAGACAAAAAGAAAGAAATTTTACGAAAATTTTTAGCACATTTTTTTATACATGCATTTTCAGTTCAACATTTTTAAAAACACTAAAATCTTTAACAAAGAAATGAGTATACCTCCCAGCTGTACAGACCACTCGTTTCCTTGTTAACATCAGCAACTAAAATCGTAATCAAACTATATGACATGCTGTACGTCGGCAGCATAAACAAAAATGCTGTCTGAAATTTAATGAAAAATTTATTTCTCCGACTCTCTTCAATAAAGCAAAAAAGGTTTTCACAGTCAAAGGAATTAAAAGGCACTTCTGGGTGGATTGACTTGAATCCTGTCAGAAAAATGATCATACCAGTCTACTCCTTATATAAAAACTTGGAATCGGAAATATGAAATAACCGAGAGCACTTAAGACATAGCTTTCAGTTCCTATTTCCCAAGTATCAGTTTCCAAGTATTTCTTTCTATATAGAAGAATTCGTGTTCTAATATAGAACATTTTAAAATGCACTTCCTTGCTCCACAAATTTAATAATTAAATATCCTTAATTATGTAAACTTCGAATTCTGAAAATAGAAAACTTTCCAGAGAAAAAACCACTTACATGTAAATACGGAAATAATTCTGGCCTCATGGACATCATACTGTAGGATATAGTGCTAGCACAGAGAGTAACGACCAATGTTATGATGATGAGCACAACATAAGCTCGTGCAGGATCATTAATTAGGAAAGCCATGAAATAAACGAATGGCAATGTGGGCCATAAATACATCAACCAAAGCAATATAAAACTGCAACTGATCATGGTAAACTTCAAGAGATGTATACTAATGGACACAAATTAAATTTGAGTCTCATCAAGCTGAGAGAGGAAAAAATACTAGACAGTTCAAAATACAAGCGACTAATTATAACCTACAAGCATCAATGTCGAGAAGATACCGTTACTTATACAGATCAAGTCGTCGCAATCTCATATCATTCTAACACTCTCAAATAAACCTAGAATTAAAAGATCAGTAGTAGCTATTTCAATTTCTCGTTATGCCTTTATAAAATCAAAGTAATAATCAGAAATCCTTCGGACGCTAACACTAAAAATATAAATCTCATAATTTTAAATCTGCAACTTAGCGAATTCATGTAAAAACTCACTCAATTTTAAGGTTACCTAACCAATTCCCCAAAATAATAATGAAAACGGCACAAATAAACGCAGAAAGTATCGAATCCGAAATTATCGTAGACAACCAATAAGTAAATGTGTTCAGTCGAGTGCGAAGTTGCTAAAAAATATTGTTCAGCAACCTTCAGTCGTTTCGAAGAGCCACTTTTTTCAAAATTTCAAATATGATTCTAAATGTTACAATTTTTCACAGTAAAAAATTTTTCTAATAAATAAGATTCCGTTAAACTTATTATAAAATAGAGGCATATATCCTAATTGACGATAATTCAATTTAGTCCTTCAGAAGACGGTTTAGGTCATTAAAGGACTACTCAGATTGAACATGTCGAGGTCTATGTCATCCAAAATAAAAGGACTGCATATATATCATGATCAATAGGGATAAATGAACCTTTAGCGTAGATCAACTATGTCCTGAACATTCCCTTAAAACTGATCAGCGTTTATTCTTTATCTTCCGCAAAAAAGCTTCTTTGAAAAATTAGGGATCTAATGGTTTAAAGCATGTACTGATTAAAACCATAAGAAAAGCTTGCCTGATGAAAGAAACTCGTGCTGAGATCATCAACAACATAGGTTACGAAACCAGAAGAAACGAAAGCGAAAATGATAATCAAAACAGGTGCTATTAAAAACATATGAGAAATCTGTGAAGCCAATCGGTTGACATCGCTTACATTACCATATGGAAGGAAGAAAACTTTGATGGAATCTAAAAATAAACCTCCTCTTTTCAGAAGTTATGGTTCGTATAAGAGTTATAAAATTAAGTAGATAAAAAAAAAAATCAAGATTATATTTTGTGTACATACAAATAAAGATGCGAAAACAAACTTGAATCTGCAAGGACTTACAAATATCTTGTGGTAGATAGAAGAAAATTAATAAACGTTGCATAAATTAAAAATCATAACAAATAAAGTAAAAATTTATTACCTGCAGATTGTCCCAATCTTACATTGCTTATTAATGTCGTTGCAATAACCGGTCCATATCTAGCTTTAACATTGAAAAATGCCGTAGCATCAATGTAACCGTCCTTTGTGTTATACGTGACAGCCATGCCAACAGGTGGCGGTATCTAAATATTGTAAGCATTTGAAGTTCATCACAGAATATGGATGGAAAATTAATAGTGATGATATGACAGAATTAATGGCTCTGACTGTTGTTAATAATAACTGAATCATAAATAGGCAGTACAACACTTACTTTTGGCAATTTAGCAAGAGTGAGCTCCATGCTTTCTGATGTCGGCACTAGCTTGTATGAATAACCGGTTATGTTTTGTACTATCTGTAGAATATTGTGACCAAACAGAGCTTCAGGATTTCCCAGCTGTATAGGCACAATGCAAGGACTTATACGTCCTGCATTCAGCAAAATTTCTGCAAATTCAAGCTTCGAAAATCATTCAATTTGAGAACTGCTTACCTTTTTCGTCTTCTGTGTTCACAAATCCAAGTAAACTTCCAGGGCTTCTAATTTAACTTCAGAATTTTATGAATATCTTAGATATATACAAAAGTATCACCATGTCTTTTCTCATCTCCAGTTGACAAATATTTCACATAAAAAACAACAAGTAGAAGAATAGCTACAGGAAAAAGTATTTGCCAAATAAGTCGTGCCCATTGTCTCTTGTAACATATGAAACGTTTCTTAAGCAATGCGCCAATCTGCACGAGCCACAACAATATTCCTCTATGAAAAGCTGAAAATAAATGAACGAAATACAGTTAAAATTTGCTTATATTTGGAATTTCTTACTTGACTTGTTTCATCGTCTAACTTAATTTCCCATTTTTTCGTTCCTAAATTCCGTTGTGTACTTTAATGTAGTGTTTCCGCAAAAGTAATAGCAAGACTTCTTAATTAATGTAATAACACATATGCTTTAAGATATCTACAATACTGATCTTATAAAAGAGTCTTTATGTAGTTGTGAAATAAAATGTCTAACGCTTTTTGGTTAATGTTCTCTTCCTAATAATTTAACAGCAAATTTCCAAAAATTCACTTCTTACGTGCTCTTGTTACTGCTTCACCCAAATCTTGATGATGTCTAGCATATCATATACACAACATAAATATGTCCATATATATTAAGCTAATGTCTATATATACTCGCACATAAGCTAAATTTTCTAAAACAGTCGAATTAAAAAAAACGGTACTAACATGAATCAGTATAGAGCATTGAAGCTTGCTGTTCGGCCATACTTTCCATGTCAGTGATAGTTGTTGAATTAGCATCCTCAAGTTCCCCAACTCTACAACAGCGCACATAAATTATGTAACATTGATTGACTTCAATTTTTGAAATATAGTCCTTATAATAATCACAATTTCCTGTTGCTAGTGCCCATTGAAAGTAAAATGAAAATTTCGAATTTACCAAGCCTGATAATTTTCTACTAGATCCAAATCAGACAGCAGTTGATAATGTCTGACATCATTACGTGATACAATAAATTTAATGTATAAACTAATTCGAATCAAAGCAGCTACATACAAAAAAATTACTTTAGGAAAACTTGCTCCAATGTATTCAGTGATAAGCCAAACGAATTGATGCCATACTTTTCAGCATTCTGTTCCAAGTCAGCAAATAGACCCGGAAAACTAAAATGCTATTATATAAAAAACAATATAAAAAATGATAACAAACTGAAAAGAGAAGCAACAAAATGGAAAAAATCAGAGTTCATAATTTTATTAAAGGCAATTCCAGGAAAACTTTATTTAAAAAAAAGAATTTAAAAACTAAAGCAGTAAAACATAAAAAAATAAATATAACAGGAAGAACAGATTAATAAGAAAAAAACCTCTTCTTGCACTCAATGGGCAGCAGGACAGTTATCTGCTGGGGAGTTGCTGATTGCTTCTCAGTCTCGGGAACATGTTTCCTAATAGCTAATAACAACTGTTCCTGTTCATTTTTACTATTTATTTCCTGCAAAGAAAATAAACAATTAGTAGATAAATTAAGGTCACAAGATATCCCACATCGAATGGCTTTTTACAGCCTTATCAATAAAATAAGTGTAATTCTCCTTCCCTGCCTGTAGTCTATTAGACTAGTTGTGCTGGTCACATATGCAGTCTGACGGGAATAAATATTCATCCATTCCTTTCGGCAAATCGTTTTTAAACCTTCCTCATGAATACCACTGATCTCAGAAGTTTGGCCGTATGTCAAAGATGAACTGATACGAGGTTAAACTATTAATTTAAATCTGATTTATCAATTAAAACCATATCATTCTAACAAATGTACCACCAAAAATAGTGCAATATTACAATTCTAACCATCAAATCAATCGATAATAAATATCCTGTTCCAAATCGATTTTTCAAAAATTCCGATGTGCCAGCACAGATTAATCGACCCTTCACCATAATTGCTATGCGATCACCCAATAAATCTGCTTCATCCATACAGTGGGTTGTCAAAAGAATTGTTCTAAAGCAGATTTCCATAATAAGTTAAATGTAAATGTGTCTATCTTTGAACAGTTAAGTCCAGATGTAATTAACAGGCGGTAATGAAAATAAGCATAAATAATTGCATCACATACACATCGACAAGTACCTACCGCTGTTAATTATAAGCAACACTGTTCAGGCAAAATTCAGCGTAGAGAAACTATAAAAATAAAATAAATTTCAAAATTAAGTAAAATTACCTCTCGTGTTTATAGCGCTGAAGTAGTTGGAAGACAACTTGCCTAGAAGCTGGATCCATACCTGCTGTAGGTTCATCTAACAGTATAACGCGACGTCCACCAACCAAAGATATTCCAACACACAATTTTCTTTTCATCCCGCCGCTTAGTTTTTTAGCAATCTAAAATCCAAAAAAAGAAAGATTTTAAAAGATAGATTTTGGAATAACCTTTTTTTTATTATTCCTACCTTATCACTTGAACTGCTCATATTCTGTCGTTATCTACTTCCTAGTTTTTATAAATGCGTTATGAAATATAGAACAGTTAATTTCCATCAATCCAATCATTTTAGCATTGATAAGATGGAGGATATATGATGTATACCACATCAGCTACGCCGTCCAATTCGATATCTGTCATTAGCTCTATGGTACAATCAGCTGTGTTGCCGCTGAGTTTCCGAAACATCTCCAAATGCTCGCGTACTGTCAGCAAATCAAATAATGCATTATATTGGGGGCAGAAACCGATTTCTCGCTGGCAGTGATCAATGGAACGTGATCCCATCCTGTTGCCACAAATGTAAATGGAGCCAGAGGTTGGTGAAATAAGGCCTGTTATCAAAGAAAATGTTGTGCTCTTTCCGGCACCATTGTGCCCCAAAAGAACGGTCATCTGAAAAAAAATGTAGTGAAACTGATTTTTTTAATGAGCAGAAACAAACGGTTAAGCTGCTAGATTCGTTTCATTAAAAAACGAAGAACTGTTCCATAGTGTATAAGTAGACAGTGAAAAAACTTGGTACTTGCAAAATTTCAGGAAGGAATTACAATTAATGGATGAGTATCAGCTAGTGACTAATGTTATACATCTGGGTCCCTGGTTTCTCTCATAGCTAGCATGTGAAATTTATTGGTTCTAAAACTAGGAAAAAATCGAATTACTTCTCCTCGATAAGCACGGAAAGACATGCGATCAACAACCGGCTGTATGGTGTAAGTTTTCGTCAAGTGCCGTATATCGATGTCTGCTTGATCGTCCCCCTCATATTTTTGAATGTTGTCATTCGGAGCATCAGAAGAATCATAAAAAGTGCATTGATGACGTATACCGTTCGATCGCTGTAAGAAAGAAAATATGAAAGCATATTTGTGCATCAATAAATATTTACTTCTAATTTAGTCAACAACACCTTTTCCAATTTTCTAAAAAAGTCCTATCACTGTATGTGATCGTCTAATATCGTTTTTATATACCTTTGAACACTATTACTAACCAAGAACCGCTTTCATCGAAAAGAAAGATTGCTTCTAGTGGCAAAAAAAGAAAAAAAAAACAACTTACCAAAGCTTTGGAACAAGATGAAGAATGATAAATGATGCAAATACAGCTTTTGTCTCACAAATACTCTCAAAGCCATAAGTGTCACATATGTAATTTTATAATTAGACCATGGATTTTATATTATTGGTTTAAACTTACATGTAAAAAGAAAAGCCATTCCTTCCGTGGTAAATCATCAGAGGGATAGACATTATCCAAATAAATAGCTAACAGTGACATCCAAACAACATCAAATATTATCATTGCTAGCGCCATTCCGAGCGGAAACATGTATGTCGCATTTTCAAACATATTATCGATGCCCAAATATTCATCTTAAAAAAAATCGCTTAGAAAAAATGATTTTGCTACTTTGAAGAGTCACCCAAGGCTTGATGCAGCGTTGGAACTGAGAAAACATAACAAAAAGAGCTATTATTTGTATACGGTACTTCGAACAAAGATTCTAATGAAAAACTAACAGATTGGATCAATGTAAGAGATCGACCAATGAAGTGAGAATAGTCAAACATTTCGCAAAATTATCACAAGGAATACAACATCAACTGATCAGTTAGAGCAGTGTGTTATAGAAAAAGCTGAATTTTGCAATATCTCAACGGCGTTCTTAAATACGCTGTGCAAGGAGTTCTGAGAAATTTAGCTATCACATCCATCTTGGTTAAAATACTTCCTTATTAAGCTATTGGAGAGGTTACAATCACTAGTTTCCAAATTTCATTATAGCAGTGCTGCAACAATACTTACCGACTGTCACTACACAAAGATCCACGTTGTATTTTGTAAAAGTCAAAAATAAGCCAGTTACCTCGATTCATATAATCCTGCATAGCATGGTGAGCACAAACGAAAGCATAATTCAAATTCAGTGAAAGTATAACATTTAGAAGAACTGATTCTCCTGCTGCTTGCAATCTTGTCAAACCTACAAAAATTTGAGAATGGAATAGATCAAAACGGATCTCGAAATTAGCCAATTCCACTAGCAATATCATCAGTTCTTAAACAACCATCGTCCTCCCAAAATTAAAATTATTTGAAATAAAATACCCACCAATAGTTGCAAGCCAAATAACAGCAGTGCCTTTCGTCGCAGCACCTGGACTGTGGAAAACGCAAGACATTAGAAGAGCAAAACTAGCAGCGCCGGCACAATAAATAAAATTGGTGAAAAAGAACAACCACGGAGATACTATCTGAATACATACGAATTCCAATATTTTGTTCAAAAGTAACAATTACTGGATATCTCACAGTAGTTCTATGACAAAACTGGTTTCGATAATTTTGATACTTCAAAATAAGAATTAGATGTCACCGAAATTATTGAGTAAAGCTATTAGGTGGTCAGTGTGTAGTTACACTAAATAAATGAAGCACGATTTATGAAATAAATCTTGGAAACATTAAAATAAATAAACTGAGACCTGAATCTGTGGAAGTAACATAATTGTACATGATAGCAAGACTACCATAGTTTTGATGAAACTAATTACCGCATGTGCAATATAAAACGTAGAAGACTGCATACCCATCACTGTTAAAAATGCCTGAAAAAAGACTAAAATCACCAAATTATTTAACAATGCAAAATTTTAACACTTGTACATAGATGTACTTTGTTCATAAAATGTCAGAAATAATTTATTACATGCTGTGTCGGTAAAAATTCAACCAATTCATCACATTGTTTAATGCAGAACAATTCAGATTACTAAATATCTCAAATTCGTCGTGAGAAGGAAATGAAAGTACGGAAAGAAATTGCTCATCAGTGTCCATGTTTTGGTTCTTTATTCGACTAACTTCGTTAACATTTTTTAAAAACAAAAATTAAAGCGAAGGAAAAACAAATGAAAATCTACAATAGAAAAAAAATTTCAATCTCCGTTATCCAAACATAAAAAAAGAATGTTAGTAATTCGCCCATAAAACTTCTTAGAAAGCTGAAATTAAAAAAAACAAAATTTTTAACAAAAATATAGATAAATCTAACCTTCATACCACTGTGTTTTTCAGAAGAAATATTTGAAACGGTGTGCAGAACACATGGCAAAGTAGACAGCTGCCAGAAAACTATCAAAAAAGAAAGAAATCCGACGATCAATTTTTCAAAATATGCTGGCTCAGGAATACGTTCTAAACTGAGTTGAAAATTACCATCATTATTTTGCCCACCATCAATTCCCTGCAAAATTAGAACTTCACTAAAAGATAAAGAGTTCATAATGAGCAGTTCATAATTATGTTAGATGGACGGGCCTAAAGGAAAAAATCAGCAATATTGGGGATTTCAGTAAAATGGGTACCAAGAAAAAAGTTTTTTAATCTATTCGTTAGAACAATACTGAAATCCTTAACGTTTCCTTAAAGCTGCTCTGTCCTACTAAACTGAACCACTCGTTTTCTACAAAAATCGCTGCAATAAAAAGATGAGCACAGATGAATGCAACTGTGCAGAGATAAAACCGATTTTATCTTGAAAATTGTTCCTATCGTAGTTAATAACAAGAGAACAGAACCTTAAGAAATATAGTATCGATTGCGTACTGCAATGATATGACACCGAGAGACCAGTAATTGGGCATCATATTCACTAGAAATTGGTCGTCTGAAATTTCATATGGTCCTCCACTGTACCAAATGTCATCACCAATATACCAACGTGTTTGTGGATCTTCTGTTTGACGTATTCGTATGGTATAAGAAAGACGCGGTGTACTACTATTATATTCACCGAATATAACGCCAGCTGTAAATCGTAATAATTTGGAAAGCGCTAGAACACTCATATGATTGCACTAGGCATTCGAAGGTCGAGTCGATTTCAATGCAACTATTGGTCACACTGAGACGGACCGCAAACGAAGCACAGTCCTCTGAACTATTTACCATTATAACCCATGTACTATCCTTAAGACTGCTACGCCTTATCATTTATTTTCCCTTTAATCTTCAAGCTGATTTTTGTGCATAAAAATGAGTATATTATTCGCTTATAATATTATGTCCCTATCTAATATATTCTAACAGGATTTTGATGCAAACAATGAATAGCTTGGGTGTAAAACAATTGCGTATCTCGAATTCACCTGAATTAGTAGACAGGAAAATTAAAAACAGCACAACTAGTATAACAAAATTTTTCCTAATCTTTAAATGAGGTAATCGATGTCCATATCGAAATGAGGTAATACGACGGGTTTTCTTTGACTGCACTATCGATAACTTTTTTCTCATAGTTGAAGGTAACCAACTGCCATAAAGAAACTTATTCAATAAATACTTCTGTATGTATGTTAATATCGAACATTAAACACATACCAATATATTTAGTACATATAGAAGAATGATGATAATCCTCCAACAACGCTTCCATCATGGCTGCTTCAGATGGAAATATTTTCACGCTCAACTCATACATGTGTGGATATGAAGCTGAATTATTCATCAAATAACGAAATTCTATTTCACGAGCTACCCATAAAATCTCTTTTTCATCCATGTTTTTCCTGAAAGAAAATGCATTTACATTTCATGATGATACAAACAAATCGAAAAATATAAATATGAAGCAGAAATATTAAAATATCAAAGGAAAAAAGGAATGCATGGACATACGGAAATACAAGTCCTAAACTTCTCCGACCGAGCATCCCGCAATAACTGTAAATTGACTGCATATTACCGAGACGTCGATCTATATCTCTCCAATCTCCGGTCACTTGAAATGATTCCCAGAACTGTGCTTCATGTTTGATAGATGACGAGTTCTAGAATAGTCCTATTCATTACCGCATCACTCTTTTCATGCAAACTTTTCACAAAAGTTATATCATAAAGCATGCTATCACTCTCCATATGCTTAGAAAAATATCTATTTCGCCAAAATCGGCCAAAAATCTACTCTTTTTGATTTATTTACATCTATTTGTCTACATCTTTCCATCTCACTTCCACCGTTCGAACAATCTATCACTAATGCTTCAAGAAATTTTCTGAAACATTATTCATGAAAATTAAAAGAAGCAGCAAAGGATGAATAACCTTCAGGACCAGAATAGTAAGAGGCACAGAGATGAGCAGCGGAATGGCTATTTCAACTACACTCCATATCTTACTTCTCCAAATAATAATGAATTCTTTGATAAGCAATAAACGTAGATGATTTAGCGACAACATCCTTCTAACTGATTTCCCTTTGCTTTTGGCATTTGGTTTTAATTAGTTAAATTTCAGACCTTTCGCATACGACGAAAGAAGCCATAATACTACCAAATGCTAACGAATCAATCGGCCTGAAAAAAACAGCTAACATTGCCAACGAATGAATATAAGAAAAGAAAAAAGGGAAGGGTAACTATGAGAAAATACAAAGTTAATATGTTCAAGTCAGACATCCTATCAGCAACTTTCCTTTAAGGGCCCCTACGGATCGTTTCTTTGGCATATCAATCTGTACAACATGCTGCGAACAATGAATTGAACAATACCAGTCGGAAAAACTCACCAATGCAACTCCCATTAACAATGATATTAGCCGATCGGCGTGCAGTGAGCGGACACGAACCACATATAGCATAAAGAATGAAAACAGGAGTCCCGCAGGCCTATCCGAATTAGTTTTTCAACTCAGTAACCTCTCTTTACCAGCTTTTGCGGATCGTTTCTTTGCTATACTATTCTGTGTAACATGTAGTGAACAATGTACTCAAGAGCGCTATTGTTAATCCAATAAGTTGTAACATTATCTAAGGTATAAGGGGCTAATTAAGGTCTGGCAATTTTGTATGACATGTTTTTTGCTTTTGTTTCAGTGGGAAGATCTCAGATAAATGATGGCAGCTCTTTCAGTTGTGCATTTCTTTTTTCAAAAACTAATTTCGGATTTATTACGTACCACTTGTATATTTATTTCATTTGTTGCATTTTGAATTGTTTAGTTATTGCAAGAATGGATATTACTTTATGATCGTTATCAGTGATAACAGCAATGTTTGTTCTTTCCTTCTACAACAAAGCATAATTATCGCTATTAATTGTTATAAATATAGTTTTTTAAATGCTGTGTAAAATTGCCGATGCATGTGTATATGCATGTTTCATAGAAATTCACTTCACAAGGCAAACAATTCAAATTATATATATTCGATAAGTAATACAAATTTTATATCTAGCTATATATAGAGATAGATAGACAGAGATATGTTTGATTAAACTAGCATACCATAATTATGTGCATAATATTAAAGAAACTTGTTTCAATGAATGTTTTACATATATATTGAAATTCTGATTCTTTTCGTTTCAAAAAAATTTAAATATAGCTTCAAGTTGAAATTTGTAGTTTAGAAAATTCATTAATAAATTTTCGCTTATGTTTGAATCGCAAATATAGTTATAATAGCATTTTAGGAATTATTATTTTCTATCGAAATTCAATAACATCTTTTTTTAAAACGATTTTATGACAATTTATATTAATTGATACTTGTGGCTTCCATTTGCGCATAGGCTCTTTTTTTTCTGAAAGGGTCTTAAGATCTGAAACAATTCAAAGAATAAATGAAAATTGAGATGTCCACTCGATGGTTATTAGAAGTCAGCCAAGAGATGGAAGCTTTTCATTCAATTCTCTTCTTCCTACTTCTCCTTTCAAGTCAGATTAATTCATTTCTCCGCTTCATTTGTAATTGTTATTCCCGGTACTTGTCTATCCAGTCATCATCAATTAATGAATTAATTGCTATTTTGCCATTTCTTCGCACTGAGATCAGCCTCATTTACTTGAATCAATTAATTAATGGTTGAACAATTTAATGCATTAACTTCTGCTTCATTTAGTATCTAACTGACTGCAATAATTTTGATTTGAAGCATTTAACCATGGACAAAATGATAGTATTCTTTCTATATAAGACTATGGAGTAAACAGTTTAGAAGAGCGCTAAGCAAATGACATTGAAATAATTGCTCTCTTTTCCGTATAATTTATAAATCAGGAAACAAACGGATTTCGTGTATGTCATGTTTGCCTGAAAAACATGCATCAACGTACATCATTTAAAAAAAAATGCTCTATGACACTTTATAGTAGTCTGATTCGTGGAAGGACTAAGTGCCAGATGGATGTAAAAGGGACGATTGCATAATTTATTATTCGATCATGTGTCGATCATATCATTTTCTTCGACCATATATCATTTTCTTTTAGCTGTCCACTTACTCATTTATTTCATTAATTTGTTTAAGCGTTTTAACAATGACGATTAATTTATTCTATTTGTTCTTTCGTTTATTCCAGCTATATACATATTTTTTGAAGCCAGACAAAAAAAGAATGAGACAACAGTTATCTTTATATCATGGATAGATATATTACAGATATCCGATCCACATTTTGTTGTAGTGTTCCTCTTAAAAATCCTGTTTCACGTGAAAGGACGCAGGCTTGTCACCTAATCTTCCTCATGCATATCAAAGGCGCCCTCAACTTCCTAATTATTTCCCATTGTTTTTCATTCTCAAAGTCAATGAAAAAAAGAAATTGTCATCTCCTTTATCGCTCTCTTTTTTCTACCACTTCTGCATTGACTGCTAGCATTAGCTTCGTTCTTATTGAAGTGCTTTGTAAATTATCTTCGAGCTTACTTTTTTCAACATTAGTTTCTCGTTAATGAAATGCAATGAAATTTTTGGCTGTCATAAATTCAAATTGCTATTAAAACATTTTCAAAAATATAAAATTTATAATTGAAAAAGTTGGAAAAACGACCTTAGAATCCGACATTACCTTAGAATCAGTTAACGTTGATGATGTTTTCAATCTCTCTGATTTTGTCTTTTTTCTTATTTCATGATCGTTATTGATAATTTACTCTGTTTATTTTGAAGAGGAAAAATCGCCAATGTATAAATGTATATTTTAATTGCAGCAATGCGAGGAATAGAGAAGTTACAATGTGAAGAACAGAGAAAAAAAAGTAAAATGGATACACATATATTGTGAGAACTCATATCTGTCCAGTTTGAATTCAGACTTATCATTAGAAATAATGATTCTGAGCTGTATTGAATAAAGTTGTAATCTGTGGAAAAATATAATATGTATAAGTGTTTGAAATATGTAATTTTCATCTGCAGTGAGTTTTTATTTTGGGATTTATGGAGTTAAGATTATCATCATTAAGCTTCTGTAGATAAGATTAAGAATTTTTGTCTAATCATCGATTTACCAATTTCTGAGTAATAAATCAAAAATTCATGAAGTGCATAATAGAAAGCGTTTCAGACATTTAAAATCACCTCACAATATATATGTATCCATCTTACAATACAATACAAAATCTATCTTCTCGTAGTAGAAAGATGGATTTTGTATTACATTGTAAGATGGAATTTTTGAATATTTCCCTTTTTTGAAAACTTAATGATTAACAAAATTTGATTGTTAATACTGCTTTTGCATGCTTTGAATTCTGTGTATGAATCTCAAGGCTGTAATTCCTCACGAAAACCATAGAATGGGATTCTGAAACCTACGAGCTATTCACTTTCGAGTCTTACGGAATACCATCTACAGATCTTAAGAAAATTGTAGTAATTTTTATTACGATTGGAAGCCAGTGGTGATGTATTTTCGAATCTTAATTTCTTTTACCCTATCGAAAATGTCATATTTTTTGGTCCCTATTCTTTTCTGGTACATTTGCTTCATCTATACCACTCATTTGATCGATCGTCTGATATACTTTGGATGCTGAAATGATATAAGTTGATTTTGTTTTGCAGTGGAGATTATCGGCTACATTTTCCATTCCCTAAATCTGCTTTTTGAAATTTCGGGATCCATACTCGAAATGAATATAGGAACTCCATTTATTATAGTAATATCGTAGATTATATCAAAGATCGCAAATCCAAAAAAGATTTGGAATCGAAAATTGTATTTGGAAGGGATTGCAATGTAGTTTGTACTTTTTTTAACTTTTTGCATAGCTGTTAACTTCTTATCATTTCTCAAAGGGTGGTGATATAGTGAATAATAAATCTTCAAATTCAATAATTATATCATTACATGCAAAAAATGACAACAGTTTTCTTACCGTTAACTTCAAACAAAATATTCGTAAAAGAAGATGAAAGACGAAGTTTTATTTTCTATTCTTTTATATAATTAATCAAGAAATTATATTCTTGCATACCATACAATTGAAATAATGGAATCACTTATATTCTCTCTTAATTTTCATTTAAACTTACATCAAATCTTAAATTGAATAACTCTCAAGGAGATAAAACAGAAATGAAATTTAAATTACGAAACTTATAGACTTAAAGTTTCGTCATTTAAATTTCATTTCTTCTATTGTTTTCTTTATTTGAAATAAAAAAGATAATGGCCTATTGAGGTACATATAACAAAGGAATTTGTTCTAAATTATTCATTTCAGTTATAAAACATGTAAAATTTGCACTATTAGTACAATTGCTATATACCTTCCTTCATATCATTGATTAGAGAATTTAACTTGCTAATTTAGAAGATGAGAATTGAGTTTAAAGAATTTTTTTGATTTCAGCAATGCTATTATGGATGAAGTGAACAAACTCCGTTCCGTTCAATGCTTATGAAAGCATAGAATAGCTTCCATTGAGAATTAGGCTCAGTAACATTAATTGACATAAGAAGAAAAGGAGAGTATCAATATCCCTTTTCTGGCAAACATCCCAAGAAGATGAAGTAGGCTGAAGGATATTTTTGACATCCTATATACACCCTAAATGTTATTTCATTTTTAAGGCATGAGTTTTGTCTATTTTTCAATTTTTGTCTGGCTACAAGACCAAGTGGCTTAAGCATGATATTGAATAACATTAGAGAGTGTAGAAATAAACAAGGAAAATCCACATTACTGGATAGCTTTTGTTCCTTCTTCATTACACCCGATAGAAGAGTATCCTATTGATATCTCTAACTGCTATTAATCTCTTATTGCTTCAGCTTTTTTTTATTACTTCAAACTTAAATGAAACAGAAAATGATTTTGTAATAACCTAAGGTTAAATGTTAAATGAGATCACCTGAATACAATAAATATTTCCCGGTTAAATGATGATTTAATTGCAAAAATATGAAATTGGAGACTATCTAAATATTGAACTACTACTAGTAATTAAGC